ACACAGAGTACTGCTGAAGACTGACGGGGTTAGAGCACTAACCCTGACTGACAGAGTACTGCTGAGCCTGCCTGACTGTCCTGACACAGCACTGCTAAGCCTGACTGACAGGGTACTGACACAGAGCACTGCTGAACCTGACTGACAGGGTACTGACACAGAGTACTGCTAGCATTAACTCTGATTGACAGAGTATTGACAGAGTTGAGTGACAGTGTTTTTCACATCTCCTCACAGGCCCTGACTGTTTTGCCTCATTGGTCCCTGAATCACGATGTTCTTGTGATCATGAATTCCTGAGTTCTACCTCATTTGCCAAGCTGGTTTAAAATTCAATTTCTACTGCATTGGGATGAAGTGAAGTTACAATGAATGCCACTATGTGGTCTGTGGTAGAATCAACTGGAAAATGTGGAACATTAAAAAAAAAATGAAAATTGAAATCCTCCTGGCAGATTAGCACTCAAAATGCTCATGGGGAGCCATCTGGTCCTGCCAGCTCACGCTTGTGGACAGGGAATTTGTGCTATACCAGGGAGCGTCCAGCAGGGGGCAGCAAAACAGCACAAAGGGAGTTTTGATACTAATTTGTTCAGGTATGGTCAGGGACTTTTTCTCTGATAGTGTTTAAAGGATTTATGATTCTGGAAACTCATCTCTATAGAGAACTAACCAACTGGGCAGCAACTGGCTACCAGGAGGCACGGCATTGTAACTCTGTCACATCTGCTGTGGTTTGTACTGGCCCGGTGGCTGGGGGCGGAGCAGTGGCACTGTGGCTCAGGATCTGTGCCTGTGGCTGGAAGGTTGCCAGTTCAAATCTTGGGGCCAGCAGAGGAATCCTACTCTGTTGGGCCCCTGAGCAAGGCCCTTAATCCCAGCTGCTCCAGGGGCGCTGTATAAATGGCTGACCCTGCGCTCTGACCCCCAGCTTCTCTCTCCCTGACTGTGTGTCTCGTGGAGAGCAAGCTGGGGTCTGAGAAAAGACAAATTCAAGAGATTGTATATGGCCAATAATCTGTATATGGCCAAGATCTGATCTTATGTTGGAGAAGGAGCAACAAACTTCATTCTGTTTTTTTGGGAGGCATCTGATTTTGTGGAGGAGGTTGGGGTAATCGGATCACAGACATGAATCTCGGAGCCCCCGTAGGAGCTGGGAAGTGTTAGTGGATGCAGAAGGATTCCCTGCGGATTAGGATTACCTCCTCATCTTTCTCCCGGATGAGCTTCTCCGTCTCGGACAGCGGGAGCAGAGACAGCTCGGTGATGCTCTGACGAGAGATTTTACTGTGAAGAGGAAAGACAGAGCTTAAGAAATGTGGAGTGTCTCTAGCAGTGTCTACAGTCCAGTCAGGTGTGTCAGTATGTGAATTCAGGGGGAGTGTGAGAGGAGAGGGACATCAGTGTCTACAGTCCAGTCAGGTGTGTCTCAGTGTGTGAATTCAGGGGGAGTGTGAGAGGAGAGGGACAGCAGTATCTACAGTTGAGTCAGGTATGTGTGCTGGTGAAGTCTGGGTTTGCTTGTGAAGCTTCAGAGGTGGTGGAAGCTGAGGCCCTCACTTGCGGGAGCTGCGGTCTTTGGCCCCGATGCGGGTCAGGCTCTGGATGCACTGGGCCCGGTAGTTCTCGTAATGAACCTCCTGGGTGACATCCTTCAGGTCCTGCATGTGCGTCTGGATGAGCATGTTCCTGAGCTTCATGAAGTCGCAGTGCGTGGGGTTGTCAACTGGAGAGACAGACAGGTCACAGGCTAGTCAACTGGAGAGACAGACAGGTCATGTGCTTGTGAAGAGAAGAGACAGGTTATCAGAATCAGTTCCTGGAGGTCTATAGGGATTTAATTAACCTGTTTGCTCTGCTGGACAAATCTAAGTTTATATTTCCTCAGTTTATCACTTAAAACATTCCAGGTTAACTACTATTAATGGTGTATGATGCATATGGCTGGACAAAAAATATTACTTTGAACTAATTCATCAATCATTTATGATAAATAAATGAGAGCTGGGGAGGATCAAAGGTCAGCTAACGTTCACCCTCCAGGACTGGAGTTCGACATATTGCTCTGCGTTGTACGAGATGATAAAGAGAGCCGTGGAGCTGTGAGAAGCCATTTCTGAGAGGCTACAGCAGGAGGAATGAAGCATGAGCGATTAGGACAGAGTCCATCTGTAGATTGATTTGGTTGTCAAGTGAAAACCAGGATTTAGAAGTGGAGTCGAGGTCAGTTTGAAACAGTAACATTAAACTAATGTCAGAGGATTAGGTGTGTCCTGCTCTCTCTCTCTCCCTCTCTCGCCAGGCAAAGCAGGGCTGATTGATCTGTTTCACAGCTGACTAATAAAACACAATGGGTAAAACAGAATGGAGCCCTGTCAAGGCTCTGTGCATACTGGAGCACAATGTGACGGAATTAATTGTACAACCTTTCGGCAATGAGCATGCAGCAGGGCAGTAGGCAGCTGTGCCCTCAACAATCTGACCAATCAGAGGGCCACCAGCAACAGCACAATACCTAGAGTCGAATTGCACTGGCGCCCTCACCTGGTGGGAGGCTGAAATGCTTCGGCTTGAAATAAAAAAATATGGGCACATTAGGGGTCTAAACATCTGCAGATTTAACATTCCTGAATTTTCTTATAGGTGATTCTGTCTGGCCAAAAAGTCTAGGATCGGGAAATGAATCTAACAAGTGGGGGAGCCTCTCCCTGCCCCCCGCTACTCAGCACCCGCATCTCAGCCTGGTCCAGGTTCTGTACTGTAACTAACGCTCCAGGTTCTGGGTCAGCAGTGCGGGGAATGACAGGCTGGAGATGAATTTACTGGCTCTCTGACTGGATTATGACTGTTTCATCAGTGCAGGCATCCGCTGGGTAAAGAGGAGGGATTCATGTTGTTTTAGTTGATGGCTTTAAGTTTGTGATAACTGTTCTTTTAGTTGATCAAAGTTATTTTAATTCACATCAAGCCAATGCTTTAGAATTTGAATTATTATATAAGGGAGAGTTACATATGTGTTTTACCATACATACTGTCTACTGTGGGACATTATGCGATGGAAGGGGCTGGTATTATGTGAATTTGGCGAATGTTGAGATGCTGCTGTAATATTAAAAAGCTTTAGCAAGAGTGTCTGGAGTGACGGTCTCTTCCCCCTCCTGCACTTACTCTCCACCACGCCCCAGGGGTACACCCGTCCTCTCGTGGGCCGCTCCTTGCTGTCGTTCAGGAGGGTGGTGCTGCCGATCACCGCGAACGGAATGCTCTCCTAGTCCCGGGAAGGGGAAAAAAAGAACAGGAGCTTATCTCACCCGCGAGAGCAAACGCTTCCCAGTTTGTCCTGGGACTTCCCTCCCCTTCCAGCCCATTCCACTTTTCCAGGTGCTGGGCTGGGAAAGAAGCAGCAGAGCACTGGCGCCTGAACGAGGGTGGGGGTATGAGTGTGGAGGAACAAAGCTGCGCTTACACCCTGCCGCCACAAGCACGGGTGGCGCTGTAGGCTATGGGGAGGCAGGAGAGAGTAAACTGCGTGTGATCAACATGTTCTTCCAAAGAGCAGTGTCCGACAGTCTTGTCACCCCAGCTTCTAGGTTATACTGCTCCTCTTTCACGCTTTGTCTTTGTTGTCAGGCTCTGATACGTTCCCATATTATTTAAGGGCTCTTCACCTCCATCACAATGCTCAGCATTGAGTTTCCAACTGGAGCTTCGTTTTTTCAAAATCTCCCGCCTGCGGTCTGCCTATCGTCTGCCACACCTCTGCCTTCCTGACCTTCGCTTTGTTTTGACCACGATATTGGATTCAGCATATTAGCTAAGTACTTTGGCTTTTCTAACACCTGGGTTAGATTCCTGATCAACTACTGCATAGGGTCCTACTTATATCTTGGTTGCCAGTCGTAACGCCAGCCTGGGCTCTTACAGCCCCAGTTGCTGCAGGCTTCCTTCCCAGTAGAGCTGGCGATCTGCTACCTGGGCCTTTGAAATGAATTTTTTCCCGCACCTAAATCGGCACACTTGACTTGCAGAAGCCGCCCAGCCGGGGGGTCCGGATGGGCGGATGGGCGGACGGGGGGGAAGCGGGAGACCTTATTTGACGTGAAAGGCTTTCCTGTGTGCGCCCCGAGCTCGGCGCGCTCACCTTCAGCGCCAGGTCCTGCTGCTTGAACTCCTCGTCCTCGTCGGAGTCGCAGTCGGGGAACTGGTAGATGTTGATGCCGAACTCCTCGATTTCGTCTCGCACCTGCGGGAGGGCGTGAAGAGACAGTGACGCGGAGCCCAGCCTGGACTCGACGAGCACCTCCTCCCCCTCCCCCAGAGGGCAGGGGCAGGCTTGGGGGAACACGCCAGCCCAGGCCACAACACGGCCTGCGGTTTGCGTGTGCGTGTCGGCCCGGACTGCTCGCACATGGCATCTCTCAGCAGCAAGACTGCAGCACTGGCAGAAACGCCAAACCAGTCACAGAGGCAGGCCGCAGCCCCAGAGCCTCTCTGGTGGAACTGGTGGAAGTTCCAGAAAGAAAGAAGAGGGAGAGAGAGAGGGGCGAGTACACACTGAGTGCACACTACACGAGGCCGTCTTGGGGAGTTCTGTCAGTCTCTCTCACCCTCTGTTTCATGGTCTTGACCTCTGCAGGGGTGAGGGTGTCGGCCTTAGCGATGACCGGGACGATGTTCACCTTCTCGTGAATCGCCTTCATGAACTCCACGTCCAGAGGACGCAGGCTGCGGGAGAGAAAGATAGGAGGACCGTAGAGAGAGGGAGAGGTCACCGCACACACGGGGATGGCACTAAACTGCATTATCACCGAGTCTCAGAGAGGGAGGAGGGTTCTGTCAAATTGACAGGACTCAGTCATTATCCATCCGTTTTCTATCCGCTTTCTCCAGTACAGCGTCGCGGGGGAGCCAGAGTCTATCCCAGCGAGCAACGGGGGGTAAGGTCTGATACACCCTGGACAGGACGTCTGTCCATCACAGGGCAGATAGACACAGACTCATACCATGGCCAGTCTTGCCATGAGCCAATTAACCTATTCACATGTGTTTGAACTGTTGGAGGAAACTAGAGCATGGTGTGAACAAACCCATGCAAGCACAGGGGCAAACATGCAAACTCCACACAGAGAGAGCCCCAGATCCAGAATTGAACCCGGGGCCCCAGCGCCTAGAGGCAGCAACGCTCGCCACTGCGCCACCATCATTCATTTGATCCAATATGTTAATCTGTGTGCGTATCTGTGCCAGAGCGCAGTACCCACCCGTGCCCATAGGGGGAGACGAAGTAGAGGACGCAGTGCACGCGGTTGTCCTGGATGTTCTTGCGGTTCAGCCCGCTCTCGTCGCGGAAGTACTGCTCGAACTGCTGGTCGATGTACTGGGCGATGGACTTCCAGCTGGGGAGCAGACGGGGAGGCAGGGGCTGGTTATGTGGGGGCAGGGGCGGTTCATCGGGGGCGGGCGGCGGACAGGACAGTCGGACGATCTGACACAAGAAGGTGACTGTGGCCTCCCAGTCACTATGGCAACCTCAGCCACAGTATGGCAAGTGTGCAGTCGTGTCATTAGTGAGCGCTGTGTGCTGTCGTGTCATTAATAATAATAAACTTTCTTTTATATAGCGCCTTTAAAGGTGGCTTCTCAGAGCGCTTTACAGAATGACGACAACAATAAATAAAGAGAATACACAAGATAAAACACAATTATAATATACAGAGGAGACTGTTGGTGGTGGTACTAAGAAAAGTGGAAGCAGAGGGGTAAAGAATGGAACCAGTTCAGTAATGGCTTTTCTGAAGAAGAGGGTTTTGAGTCTGGATTTGAAGGAGTTTAGAGAAGGTGACTCTCTGATATCCTTGGG